TAACCAAGAATGTATTATCTAAATACCTAATAAAATCCGCCTTCTCGCGATATTGCGAAGGTAAAAAAAAAAAAAAAAAAAAAAAAAAAAAAACAATTGCTTTTGTTTAAGATTTTTGCTTGATTGGTAATTTGAAGGATAATATGTTCTTGGTTTGGCTATCTATTTTCTTTGAAGTTTTAGGTAGTTGTTGTTATTAGATGCTATATACTTGGTTAACTGCTGTTTAGATTTGTTTGTAGTTTGTAATAGGATTTGTATAGATGAAGTTTCGATTATATTTGATTATCTAATATGTCTTGCTTAGCTGAAATTGTCTAAAGTTGAGGTTGTAAGATATTCTATCATTAATTTTTGTCTTAGTTGTGTTGAATTATATCTCTGGTTTCTTTGTTCATTAGAGTGATTTTGTTTTTGTCTTTATCTTTAGTAATAGCTGCTTTAAGTAAGTTAGTAAATTCTTTTTAATGTGCAGGTGCTGTTTGTCTATTTTGGGTAAAGGATGTGAAAAATGCAAGGTCTAGATATTTAAATTTAAGAAGTATAGCTTTTGGAATCTGGTGCTGTGTAGGTTGTGTTGTTAGTTTGTATTGTATAAATTCTTTGATACTGTTTGTGTTGTTGAGTGTTGTAATTATTTTGTCTATTGGCCAAATCCTGTAGTTAACTTGTTTTGATTTTGGTTGTCTAATTTTTAAAGTATATGTTTAATCCAACTTTGTATTTGTATATATAGTGCTTCTTTATTTATTTGTATTTGATCTTGTTGGTAGATATTTTGTTGTAGTATATGGATGTACGATTTTTGTTGGGTGTTGATATTTTGGTTCCCAAGTTTATTTTGGTCATGGGTTGTAGATGTTATATTTTTTATATCTATTTGTATTGCTGTTGTTTTGAATTGTTTCCTGTATTGAATATTGGATTATATGTTTTGTTTGTTAGTAGCTGTGTTTGTGTATCTGCTATATTTGTGTTGTTTTGTGTATTTGTGTTTTCTGTGATTATTGTATTGTCATTGTTGTTATTTCTCATTATAGTTGTTGTTGTGTTATTCTGTATAATATATAATATCATAGTGTGTTTTGGCAGGAGTAAGCTGTTTTGCCTACTTTTTGTCAATTTTTTGTAGATTGTAGAGATGGGTATATTGTTGTAGTGATATCTTTTACTAAATGATATAGGATGTAGGTGAAATTTTCTGGATTACGTGATTCGTCGACCGCCGGCCTAGGTCGATATCACATAATCATGTGAGCACTTGGATCGACCAATAAGAATCGATCATGTGCAAGCATATTTTAAAATTTATTTTTATTAAAATTTATTTATAAAAAAAAAAAAAAATAAATAAAATCGTATTATTACAAATTTACTTATAGTAAAAAATACATCACACCACACAAAAAATTCCCAACAAAAAGAACCAGTACAATTACAACGAAATGTCAACAGCACAACAACTCCACGATGATGCCACACCAAAAACGACGACTCCAATAACTCCAGTAACGACGGCTCTAATGGCGAAATCAAACTCAGAAGAAAGAGAAGGAAGCAGTAGTAAATATATTAAAAAGAAAAAAAAAAAATGATACCAGGACGAAAAACTTACCTGAAACGACGGCTCCCATAGCGAATTCACACCCAGAAGAAAGAAAAACAGCAGTAAATATAAGAACCCGAAAGAAGAGAAGCAATTATATATGAAAAAAACCCCCAAGACGAAGAAAACGGCGACTCCAATAATAACTCCAGTAATGACGGCTCCAACGGCGAAATCAAACCCAGAAAAAAGAGTAGAAAGCAGTAGTAAATATATTTAAAAAAAAAAAAATATGACACCAGGACGAAAAACTTAACCGAAACAATGGCTCCCACGGCGAATTCACAACCGGAAGAAGAACCCAAAAGAAGAGAAGCAATTATATGTGAAAAAAAACTCCAAGACGAAGAAAATGGCGACTCCAATAATAACTTCAGTAATGACGGCTCCAACAGCGAAATCAAACCCGGAAGAAAGAGAAGGAAGCAGTAGTAAATATATTAAAAAAAAAAAAAAAAAATTGATATCAGGACGAAAAACTTACCTGAAACAACGGCTTCCACGGCGAATTCACACCCGGAAGAAGAACCCGAAAGAAGAGAAGCAATTATATATAAAAAAAAACTCCAAGACGAAGAAAATGGCGACTCCAATAACTCCAGTAACGACGGCTCCAATGGCGAAATCAAACCCAGAAGAAAGAGAAGCAGTAGTAAATATAAAGATCAAATAAAAAAAAATAATAAAAACTTATCTGATTGGCCGATCTGTTGGTAAGGGTGGAGATCTGTGTAACCTAGTCTGGAGATCGATTAATCACGTGATCCGGAAATTCTCACCTACATCCTGTATTCGTCTCTTTTACTTTGAGCAGAAGTTTGTTGGTTGTTGTTTGTGTTCTGTATTTCTTAGTTGTTTATACTGTTGTCTATTAGTAACTTGGGTGTATACACTAGTATATATATGTTGTTTTGCTCTTGCAAACTGGTTTCTTCTACCAAGTCTGTTGAGAACTAGTTGTTGTTGTTTTTAGTTTTCTTGTTGTATTTTTTGTACTGCTGTCATTTCGTTGTTATGTTAGTTGTTGTGTCAGTTGTTCTCTTGCGTTTCATACTAATTTTGTCTATATTCTAACTTTATTTAGATCTTTTTTGAATATCTTTCTTCTATATTTTGTTATTCTTGTAATTTTTAAATAATCATCATAAAGAGTTCTTAATGAATCAGTTTTGAGGATTAATTATAATAATTTTATTTAGTAAAATATTAATATAAAATTTAGCTTATTGGAATAACTTTGTGGAATTTAAAAACAAACACAAAATACGATCAGATTTTTTAGCCAGTCAGATTGTTTTGAGATCATATTTTGCAATCTATTAATAAATATAGTTTAAGAACAGACTAAATTAGTTTTATTGTATATAAATTTAACTACAGTATTAAGCATAAAATAATATATAAAGAACTTACATATTGTTCAAACAAACATAATTTTATCAGTAATCTTTATATTTGTAATCTGTTTCTTAACAAAATCCTGTTATTTTATAACTCATATATATCTGGTTGCAGGTAACCTTTTAATCAACATAAGCTTGTAATTTTATATATATATAGATATATTAGAAATATACATTATATAAGTTTTGAATAGCATAATTTGAATACTACATTCATTACATAATTTCACAGATATTTATATCCACAAAGTTATATAATATAACAATAGTAGATGCCAAAGAGTTATCAATATAATTATTATAGGAATTGATATAGCATTATATAGCAACATAGATACTATATTAGTATATCTATAAAGACTAATTATCTAAATCATAAGGTTTTTGTATTGCTGCAAAGCCTAATAATTAAATATAAGGTTTTTTTACTACACACAAAGCTATAAAACTTACTAATCAAGTGTTAATACATCTTGTTCAATTAGTGATAGCATTTACACATTCTAAATAAGAACTTGTAGAATATAGGATTGTTAATGCATACATACTATATTATGTTATATTATGTAATACAAAACTAAAAAAAATTGTATTTACCTATTTTTAATATACATATTAATTTTTGCACAATAAAGGGTGTGGCGACTTAGTGTAGTTGGTAAGTTGTTGCACCTTCAAGTGGCAAGACAAGAGTTTGAATCCCACCAGTAACAAAATTCAAATTTGTGGAAATGCGTTACAATAAAACTGTATGACATGTCAATCGGGTCAGCACCTATAACCTTGGTCTCACTAACTTGTATTGGAAGATTGTGGAACGTAGTGTAATGTATGAGTTACATGAAACCTGAGTGAAGCAGCTAAATAAATCGAAGGGATTAGGGGATACAGAAGCCTGCTTGGAAAGTCCTGAGTAGAGAGGTAGCACAAATCTTCAACAATGCTATATAAAGGATTATTATCTGGGAAACCAGACACCAAAGACAAACTAAACAAGAACTAAGTGTTTGGCAAGCACTATACCAACCAGGCCGCCAGATTAACCAGAGGAAAAGGATTCATTTGGAATACCAGAAGATGTCTACTAGTCCCTTCCGGGCCATTGGATTGAAAGTTTAGGATGCCAACAGTTGGCATTAAAATACTGTTGATAGTCTGTAAAGTGGGTGCTGGGGTTTAGATGAACTTTGCAAAGGCATAGAGTAGGTAATGGGAGCAGAGGTAAAAAGCTGCAAGTACTTGGCCACGGTCTAAATATAAGTTACTGAAAATCTAGATAATACATGGACCGCTCTGGTAGATTTACTACAAGGATAAAGGACCCCCTATATGGTAGTATATGTCTGCTTTAAAGTCTTAAGGGGCTTATATGGCAGTTTCTCTTTGAAGAGAATATCCCGACGGTGCTAAGTTGATCAGAGGGTTTAATTAGATAATTTAAGTAATAGTGGATTACAGATACGGTATCTAGTGTAGTTCATATAAGTTATATATGCAAGACTGCTTAAATAGACAACCAAAAGTTGTACATATGGCTAGAATGTATCCTCGTTAATGTAACAAAGTCAGGGGTAGCTTATGTGGTTATTCTGGCATTCGATCTAAAGTTTAATAAAATGTGCCAGACCCCAAAGTAGTCACTTTAACATTAAAAAGAAAAAAAATTTTTGCACAATAAACTTATATTATGCCAATATTGTTTATAATATTAACATGTATTTTAAAAAAATTTATAGTTTTGATTCAATTTTTTTGTATTTATAAAGATTTATTGGACATTCTATTTTTTAAAAAATGTTATACTACTAACTATTAATAATTTTAAGCTTATTTATAACTTAGTTGAATTAGAATTAGAAGATTATAAAGAAAATAAACTAGTTTTAAACATGATTTATGAGTTAAAATTATTTTTTCAAATTCCTAATAATTGTACTTATCATCGAACACCAAAACAAAAAGATCTTAGAACTTGTTGTGATAAAGTAGGGTTTAAGTAATTTTTTGAAAGACATTTTGAATTAAAAGCTCTAGAGGAATATAAGCTTAAACTTTTTATAAAATTGCAATTAATATTATTTGAAATTAGTGATGAAAAATTAAAGAATAAAATACAAAAGTATATATATATAATAATACTTTACTTCTTTGTATGCCTACGTATTCAAAGTTATATAGAATTAATAATTATTTACTTAGTATACTACAAAATCATTTACAATTAAATGAGTTAACTGAATATGTTTATGGAAATATTAGACTTGCATCTAAACTAATTCAAGAGTTTTTTTAGACCTTGCTATAATTAAACAATTTTTAGTACAATATGAAACAATTCACAGATTTTCTTCTCTATTACAGCATCAAGATGATTTGGCATCTTTATTTACTTCTAACTGTTTAAACTTACATTTCAGTTTATAATGAATATAAAAAAAAAACTTTTATTTTACTTATAATGAATTTAAAAAAATAATCTCCTATTTTATATTTAGAAAATTATAATATGAGATAGCTTCTAATATTTGATTTTAGCCATGTACAAGTAATCTTTATGAAGTTTGTACTTCTTTTAAGCCTAAATTATTAGTTGCCAAACAGGATATTGATGAATATAATAAAGTTTAAGCCAAATATAATGAACCTACCAAGGCTGCAAAATGTAAAAGACAATATTGCAATAATAATATAGAAGAAAATAAATATAATCCAGATATTATGTATATTTGTTACAATTAAACACAAAATGTTTATATATCATATTTGCCATAACAAGTTGGTTTAATTTATTTTAAATCTTCTTTTTCTTAAAATATTTTTGGCATTTGTAAAACAGGAAAACAAAATTATCAATTAAATTTTTTAATTGGTGAAAATAAACTTTCCGAAGGGGTCTCAAAAGAAGTTAACACTACATTAAATATAATATATTATTTTCTTAGAACTAAAAAAACAAAAAAGTTAAGAGTAACTTGTGACAACTGTAGTGGTCAAAATAAAACAATTTATCACTTTGGATTTGGTCTTGGTTGTGTTCATTAGATTGGTACAAAGAAATTATCATTAATTTTATGCTTTCTGAGTATACAAAGTTTATCTGTGATTTATTTTTTAGACATATTAAAAAAGTTTATAGAGATAATTATGTTAATACTATTAATGATATAAAAAATATAGTAAATAATTTATTAAAATGAAATAATACGATTCAATATAAAAATGATATGGGATGGGTTTGGCACAACTTTAGTTCTTTTTTAAAAATAATTTTAAATCTTTACCAAATATAAAACAATATTATTATTTTTAATTTAATAGCTTAGAACTTAATAAAGTTTTTGCTTCAAAAAAATCAGGTGAAGAAGAAATTTCTTTTTAATTATTGTATAATAATAACTTTAATAAAAATTAATAGTTGGATGTGGTGATTTAGTATAGTTAGTAAGTTGTCATACCCCAAGCAACAGGATAAGAGTTCGAATCCCACTAACAACAAAATTCAAATTTAAGGAATATGTTATATTAGACTGTGTATAATCTGATAGATCATTGAATTTGTAGCTTTGGTTATACCAGCTTGTATTGAAAGAATATAGAACTATAGTGTGATGCAAGAGTTACACAAAATCTGAGTGAAATGTTTGTGTAAATTCAAGGCCTGGGGCATACAGAATCTTACTTGGCAAGTTTCAAGTAGAGAGGTAATACAAATTTTCGATAGTACTATATAAAGGATAATCATTAGTAATCAGACACTAGCAGTAAACCAGATGAGGACCAGGTGTTTGGCAAAATACTATTATCAATAGGCCGCATGTATATAAGGTAGTCCTATATAAATAAAGAAAAAAATCTAATCAGAATACCAAGGGGATGTCTACTGGTCTCTCTCCGGGCTATCTGGATTGGGAGTTTGAGATGCTGTTGATAAAGAAAAGTCAGTGTTAGTCTATAAAGTGTGTGCTGAAGTTTGGGTGAACTCTACAAGGGCAGAAGTAGGTAATAGTAGCAGCTTTAGCTTACAAGTACTTGTCCTCAAACTTGGCATAAGTTACTAAAGTCTAGATTAGCTGAATTGTGAATACAAAAAGCTCTAGCAGGTTTACTTTGAGAACAAAAGACTCCTATAGGTAGATCTGTCTTAATGTTCTAAATCAGGGATCTGAAAATAAGGTGGTACTAATGTATTCTTGCTTGGTTAGAGTATTAATATATATAGACACAAAGAGTTTAAATGGGTATTACAGTAGGATTATAGGTATGGCAGCTAATGTAGAACTTAGTAATAAGGAACTATTTAAATAAACAACTAAAAATTGCATATGTGGCTAGTTGTACACTCCAAATATATGTATAGTATTGTGTATACCATACTGTAAAAGTTAACAATAATTAAATAAAAGGAAAGTGACCAAGAGATTATCTTATAACTAAAAAATAAAAAATAAAAATGATCAGTTAAATACTATTTCTTCTGTACCATTATCAAATGACCAAAAAATATTTACTGTTTTGGGAGATAAACTATACTAACTGTTTGGAAAATTACATATTGATTTTTTGAAAGAGATAAGCTGAGATGCCTACTTTTTGACAAAATTTTCTTAAAAAAAGTGGTGAAACAATGAAACTTTGTAGGTTCATTCTTGTAAGTTTTATGGTTATATAGAAACTATCTCTAGTTTTTTTAATTTGCTTAATGTTGATTTAGTCATTCTGTATTCCAGAATATTCTTCTAGTTTAAATACCAAATATAATAGAAGAATCTATTGGAAAAAAGCTTAAGCTCTACAAAAACTGTTTAAAGAAGTCTGCTTCTTAGTTTTATACTCATAGTATTTATTAACAACACATCTACTTGTGTAAACCAAGTATATTATTACTAAAGGGTGTGACAACTTAGTAAAGTGATCAAGTTGTTGCCTCCAAGTAGCACATCTAGAGTTCAATTTCCACTGATGATAAAAAATCAAATTCTTCTATATAATGGTAACTATTTGGGTGTTGAGATGTAGATCCTGTAATAACAGGCAGATCAAATAGGTGCAAGAGATAATAATCACCTAACAGATGGCTTATTTCACAAGCCTTATTGAGGCAGTAATATAATTATGAGACATTTGTATAATAGAGGAGTTATATAAAGAGACACAAACTAATAAAAGCTAATATTTACCTATGATAAGTCTCTGTAATCTGTATAAATTTAGTGAACTAGTTCTGAATAGAAACCCACTTGGCAAGTTCTAAGTAGAGAGGTAGCACATACTTTCGATAGTTCTGAAGAATTTAAAAAGAAAACCAAAAAGCTGCAGATCTGGACAAGGACTAGGCATTTAGTGAATACTATACTAATTAGGCTACTAAAGTTGATTAGAGGAAAAGTGCACAGGCTGATATCTGGGTTAAGTCAGTAGGAAAGCAGGTAACATAACTTGTAGATCAAACTGGGCTATTTAAATTGAAAGTTTGGTGAAACAGTAAAAGGGTTCCTGATTAGATGAGTACTAGAGCTGGATATAAATAAACTCTATAAAGGTGGAAGTAGTTAACGATAGCAGCTTCAGTATATAAGTACTTGTTCTCAGATTAGACATAGGTTACTAAAGTTTAGGCTATTCTAAATGTGAGTATAAAAGGCTCTAGCAGGTTTACCTCAAAGTTAAAGGACTTTCTAAAATTGTTGAGAGCATTTTAAAGCTCTAAGCCAGTATATAAAAATAAAGTGATACTAAGTATCATTATTTGGATATAAAAGAGTTTGTATATATACACAGAGAGTTTAAATAGGTACCCCTTAGTGGAATGCAGATACAGCATTTAGTGTAGAACCTAGTGATAGACAGATATTTAAATAGGTGCTCAAAAGGTGCAAATATGACTAGTTGTACTCTACAAATATATATAGTTGTCAAAATGTATCTGATAGTTAAAAATACTACTGATATTTGAATAAAAAGCAGGTGGCAAAGAAGTCACCTTAATATTAAAAAAATGTATATTATTACTCTTTGATATCTTTTATAATGTTTTTCTATAGTTCAGTTTTTTGAAATTGTTAACCAGAAGATCATTAAGAAAGCTTTTGTTTATTGTTTTTAAAAATATTAATTATTGTCACAGATTAAACTAAAATCTAATCAAAATGAAATTTTTTTGTTTTTTAAGAAAAATTTAAAATTTTTGAGAAACATTTTTTGGGGTTCTTTTTAGCATTAGAGGTAGGTTTTAGAGTTAGATTTATTAATAAATAAGTATATGTGGATTTTATAGGCTTTAAGGATAGGCATAAAAGGTTATCAGTTTATTTTGATCAGATTTCATTTTACTCTGCAACAATTATTACTTAAAATTTTATTTAAATTTTATTTTAATTTTATAATTCGACTGTCCTGCCACTTTTTATTTGAAATTAAACTAAACTAAAAAATTTACATTTCCTAATAATAGATATACTAACCTCCCTGCAAAGCAGCTTATCCATATTTTTGCCAGATATGACCAGCTTTAGTGAACTTTAAGCCTCTCTCTGGGCCTCTAACTTACTAAGAGTTATCTTTTAATCATGGGTGGATGCTACACACCATATTAAAATTGGCTTTTTTTTATAAAACAAAGCACAGATGCAAATACAAAGGACAAAAGAAAAATGGAAAAATATCTCAATATCAAATTCTGGTTCACTTAAACAAATAAAACCAAACAAAACAAATAATAAAAAAAAGAAAACAAAAGAAAAGAAAACAAAGATAGCACTATTAAATCTGTGCCAGATTGTAAAAATTATATAGTACTACAAATAAGCTAAACTAAACTCTACACTAGTTATTTACGTCTATATACAAGATGTAAAAAATTAAAAACTATCTGGTCTTAAAGTAGAGCTCCAAGATTGAAACTTTTGATTACTATTTCAACTAGGTTAGCAGATCTTCAGCATTGTTTCAAACATTATCACATTATCTGACACTATTCATCCCAAAGTAGACATGTACATATGCATATGTCTTTTCTTTTTCAGCAGCTATTACTGTATCAATCTTTTGTTGAGGTATGCTATTTTTTCTACTTTTTGGTAAAAATTTCGTAAAGTGCAAAAAGTAGACTTTGGTGAAGGGTTTCAGTTTGCAGGTATCCTTAAACTTTGGTAAAGAGTGTGTTGAAAACTTGCTTGTTGTTTTCCTTTAGACCAACTATTATCTAACTTCATCAACAGAAGCAGTGCTTCTATTAAAATTTTTTGTATAAGAGCACCACCTTCTTGCCAGTTATTTTGTACAAAAATACATTTA